GGGCGGCGCAGGCCCCCCCCGGCGGGCTCCTCAACCGCTTCGTCAGGCTCCCGCCGGGACGGGGCGGTGAGTGAGGCCGAGGGGGGCGGGGCACGGGAGGGGGCGGGGCCAAGCGCTTGGAGGGCCCGCCCCATTGGGTGGGGGAGGGGGTGCCTGTCAGCGGCCGGGCAGAGCCTCCCTGTCCAGAGGCAGTCTACCTGCGCCTTGCACTCGCGGAAGGGGAGGCGCTCTTCCCGGTCTGCGGGCTTGCCTAGGTGGGGGCAGGCAGGCGGGCAGGACTCGCTCAGCCTCCTCTCGCCTGGGGATCAGTGCTCCCTCTAAGCTGTGGAGCCTTGTGGGCAAAAATTCTGTTTTGTGAGCCACTGGCATTAGAGTGGTGAGCGAGCGATTCGGCTCCTGCATCAATTAGTTTGCTCTGGAGCCCTCCTTCCTGAGCTGAGACGAAAATGTGTGAGCCGGAGGCTAAAAACCTGTGAGCTGGCTCACACTCACTCAGCTTAGAGGGAACACTGCTGGGGATCCGTGGGCACCAGAAGGGGCAGGGGCCGTGGCTTGGGCGTTGGGGTTAGGAGCGGCGGACTCTAATCTGGGAGAGCCGGGTTACATTCCCCACCCCTCCTCCACATGCAGCTGCTGGAGTGACCTTGGGCCAGTCACAAGTTCTCTCGGAGCTGTTCTCTCCAGGGCAGTCCTGGAAAGAGCTCTCTCAGCCCCACCTGACCTCACGGGGTGTCTGCTGTGGGGAGGGGAAGGGAAAGGCGATTGGAAGCCACTCTGAGACTCCTTCGAGAGAGCCGGTTTGCTGTAGTGGTTTAGGAGCGTGGACTCTAATTTGAGAGAACCTGGTTTGATTCCCAACTCCTCCTCCACATCCAGCTGCTGGTGTGACCTTGGGTCAGCCACAAGTTCTCTTTTGGAACTGTTCTCTCAAGGGCAGTCCTCGAAAGAGCTCTCTCAGCCAATCCTAAATCACAGCCAATCACAGGCAGAGTTCCCTCTAAGCTGAGTTAGTGTGAGCTAGCTCGCAGTTCTTTGGCCACCGGCTCACACATTTTAATCTCCGTTCAGGAAGGGATGACTCCAGAGCAATTTATGCACTGGTCAAATTGCTCACTCGCAGCTTTAATGCCAGCAGCTCACAAAGTAGAATTTTTGCTCACAAGACTCCATGGCTTAGAGGGAGCGTTGCTCACAGGGTGTCTGTTGTGGGGAAGGGAAGGGAAAGTTGATTGTAAGTCGCTCTGAGACTCTTTCGGGTAGTGAAGGGTGGAGTATAAATCCAATTCTCTTATCTTATTTGCATGCAGTAGTTTCTGGGTTCAGTAGAACACATGACACTGCCTTATACTGAATCAAAGCCATGGTCCATCAAGGCAAAGGAGGTCTTTCCCATCACCTCCTGCGTGGTCCTTTTAAAATGGAGATGCTGGGGATTGACCCTGGGACCTTCTGCATGCCAAGCAGATGTTCTTCCACTGAGCCACGGCCCCTCTTTACAGCTCTCCAAGGTCTTGGTCTGAGGTCTTTCCCATCACCTACTGCGTAGTTCTTTTTAACTGGAGATGTGGGGGATTGAACCTGGGACCTTCTGCATGCCAAGCAGAGGCTCTCCCACTGAGCCACAACCCCTCTCCATGAAGCTGCTTTCTACTGAATCAGACCATTATTGGCAGACCAGGGTCAGTGTTGCCCATTCAGCCTGGCAGCTGCTCTCCAGAATCTCAGGCAGAGGTCTTTCCCATCCCCTCCTGCCTGGTCCTTTTAAACTGGAGATGCCGGGGATTGAACCCGGGACCTTCTGCATGCCAAGCAGAGGCTCTCCCACTGAGCCACAACCCCTCTCCATGAAGCTGCTTTCTACTGAATCAGACCATTATTGGCAGACCAGGGTCAGTGTTGCCCATTCAGCCTGGCAGCTGCTCTCCAGAATCTCAGGCAGAGGTCTTTCCCATCCCCTCCTGCCTGGTCCTTTTTAACTGGAGATGCCGGGGATTGAACCCGGGACCTTCTGCATGCCAAGCAGAGGCTCTGCCACTGAGCCATGGCCCTTCCCCATGAAGCTGCCTTCTACTGAATCAGACCCTTGGTCCATCAAAGTCAGTATTGCCTACTCAGACCAGCGGCAGCTCTCCAGGGTCTCAGGCGGAGGTCTTCCACGTCACCTCTTACCTGGTCCTTTTTAACGGGACATACCTGGGTTTGAATCGGGGACCTCTCTACCACTGATCCATGGCCCCTCTCTAAACAAAGCTGCCTTATACAGAATCTGACCCTCAGTCCATCAAAGTCAGAAGTGTCTGCCCAGACTGGCAGCAACTCCCGGGTGTCACAGGCGGAGAAGACAGCCAGTTCCACTGTGGGCCTGATAGACGCCCTCTGGGGGCCTGATCTGCCCCCCCCGGGCCACATGTTTGACACCCCTGGAGTAGACAATATTGACCTGGATGAACCCATGGTGTGATTCAGTAGAAGGCAGCTTCATGTATGTTCATTCCCAACCTTTCCCAGACCGGTATGCCCTGAGAATGCCTTGCGTGCCCTAGACTTAACATGTTTTATATATTTTAAAAAGATATCTGAACTGAAGGTACTTGAAATCAGTGAAGTCCATGATTCCACCCAAGCACAGGCTTTGCTTGGGAGAAAAGATAAGTCACGTTAGAGGAAGACATGTCTGCTGCCAGTGATGAGGCACACTAGCAGAATGGATCCTCTGTGTTTGGAGCAACGTTAAAAATAACTTAGAGCATTTCTGTGCTGCTGGTCTGTACATTTATGTTTCCTGTAATCGTGCAAGATGCATTTTGAAACCAGAGCTGTTTTTACACTTCTGAGAAGCAGGTGCCGGGATATTTAGGGGGGGAACAGCAGGGGAGAAGCGTTCCGTTGACACCCCCTGCTGCCGTTTGTGAGTTTAGTGTGGAAGCATCTGTCTGTCGAGCCGCTCTTGGAAATTAAGTGTCTGGTTTGATGGGGCTTTGACGTGTCCCAATTATTGTGTTCTTAATGACCTCGTTCTTGGGCCCTCAAAGTTCATCTCAGGGAATCTATAATGCTTAGTGTTTTGACAGCCATTTAGAGTGTTCCCCATACGTTCCCTTGCTGTTTCCCATACACTGTCTTGCTGTCCTCTGCGCGCCTTTCTTGTAAAGTAGAGCAGCATAATTTCCCCAGTGTTGTGAGACTGGTAAGGCGAGTTCTGAGCCAGGGACTCCCTGCTCTGTAGCCGCTGCCGTGCCGCCACCAGCTCTTGTACAGCAACATTATTTCTGTTCTATTAAGTGTAGAGATGTAAAATTTCCAGAAATTTTGAAGCTCGGGAAAAACGGAAATTTTCGGAAAAATTGAAAAAAATGCTACATTAGCATTTCTTTTGTCTTTTCTAGATTGAAAGTCATTCTATTACTTTAGGAACATAAAATATGACTATGGACATTTTTACTTGGCATGAAATTATCACAACTAGCATATTAAAAATAGAGTGCATCCAAACATTTATTACAAACAGAATACCCACCCACATGCAAAAACAAAACTGAAACCTTTTTCTTTTCTTGTGACAGTAGCACCTCCTAAAGGAAGAAATGCATCTTGTTCTTGCATTGGAGAGTTCAGTTTGTAACCTAGGACTTAATTGTCCTCAGTGCATAGAAATTAGATGAATCTGATACCGTGTGTGTGTGTGTGTGTGTGTGTGTATAAGAAATGATTTGGAAAATATTTGAACACCTTGTCTTAAAATATTTTATTCATCATGTTAAAATAAAATGTTCCATAATCAATTTTTTTCTTTTCTTTTCTTTTTTCAATTTTTCCAATTTTTCAGAAAAAAACCAAAAAGGCTTCAGGAAAAAAACGGGAAAAAACGTTTTTTTTCTGAATTTTTCCGGTTTTTTTCCGGGCCTTCACATTTCTAATTAAGTGTATACTGGCTGTGGTCACACACACTAAATAATCCACTTTCAGTCCACTTTCAAATTGGATTTTGCCAGTTCACACAGTAAAATCCAATTGGAAAGTGCATTGAAAGTGGATTGTTTAGTGTGTGTGATCGCGGCCACTGTTTTTCCATGAAGGGTAAAAAAAAAGAAGTCACAGTATAAAACAGGGAGAACAAAAACAAAAGTTAAATGCCAAAAGCCCAGATTATTATCCCAATACTGTAAGGGGTGGCGAGAAGTAGTGGCTGGCTTAAAATTAATAATTAAGCTTAGTATGGAGAGAAGAGGGTTTTCCAGGGAATTTTGAATTGCGGAAGTGTAAGAAAGAGCCATAAGAATTAAGCACCGAGGCAAACCTTCCTGCCCTCCCTCTCATGATCTACCTAAGATCACAGAATCAGCGTTGCTTTCAGATGGCCACCTAAAACCTCCCAAGAAGGAGAGCCCTCCACCTCCCGAGGAAGCCTGTTCCACTGAGGAACCGCTCCAACTGTAAGGAAGTTCTTCCTAATGTTTAGCCGAGAACTCTTCTGATTTAATTTCATCCCGTTGGTTCTGGTCCGACCTTCTGGGGCAACAGAAAACAACTCCGTGCCATCCGTACATGCTTGGTTTGCGGCGCAACAGCCTCAACAACTATAAACAGACTATCTTTACATATGTGGGGTGGAAATTTTTTCACAGAAAAAGACAGCGTCAGGAAACCTTTTGCGTTAGAAGAATTTCCACTCCACATCGCCGTGCAATTCCTTTCTGTCATCTTCTCGAATCGCTTTTTGTCGCTGATTGCATCTTGTTCATTTTGCATGCTGAGAGAAGACCCAACATCTTTCTCTGTTGCAGGCCTCAGGGTCCCACCAGCCAGGAGTGGCCACCGCTGTGTAGCTGACAACGCCAACTTGTATGTGTTTGGAGGGTACAACCCCGACTACAATGAGTCCGGCGGGCCAGAGAACGAAGACTTCCCGCTCTTCAGGGAGCTTTGGCGGTACAACTTTGCTACAGGCACCTGGCATCAAATGGACACAGAGGGCCACATGCCAAAAGAACTGGCATCCATGTCCCGTGAGTAGGGTTGCCAGTGCTCGGTTGGGGGCAGGGGATCCCCTGGTTTGGAGGCCCTCCACCCACTTCTGGGTTATCAGAAAGCAGGGGGGGGATGATGTCTGCTGGGTGCTCCATTATACCCTATGGAGACCAGTCCCCATAGGGTATAATGGAGAATCAATCCGTAGGTATCTGGGGCTCTAGGGGGGCTGTTTTTTGAGGTAGAGGCACCAAATTCTCAGCACAGCATCTAGTGCCTCTCCGCAAAATACCCCCCAAGTTTCAAAAAGATGAGACCAGGGGGTCCAATTCTATGAGCCCCAAAAGAAGGTGCCCCTGTTTTCCGTTATTTCCAATGGAGGGAAGGCATTTAAAAGGAATGCAATGTGACAGTCAGAACTCCTTTTGGAGTTCAATCACGCTTCTTCCCTACCTTCTCCCAGAGGCTCCTGGAAAGTTCCCTGCTGGCTTGTCAGCCTCACCTGGCAACGCTACCTGTGAGTGGGGGCAGGACTGAGTGGCTTTAGTCACCTGGGTGGCTCAGGCTAGCCTGATCTTGTCAGATCTTGGAATCTAAACCGGGCGGGCCAGAAGTCGGCTGTGACTTGATGGCACTTTCCACCACCGCTATGGCCTATCGCTCCTTTCTGCTGCTGGCGAGACCATAGTGGGACCCATTTTCAAATCTGGGTGGTTATTCCTGTCTCTCAAATGGCATTTTGTAGCCCCGGCCCGGCCTCTCCAATACAGCACTGGAATAAAATTTTTGTTGATTTGCACTCTTGATATTCAACCACATTGGCTGACAAAGCAGTTTACAAATCTGGAACACCAGATTGGCTGACAAAGCAGTTTACAAATCTGGAATAGTATAGCATTGATTAACAGCAGTTGCTTCAACGGCGACAACAGTTGCTGTTATCCGAATTCTGTAATGGGGAGAGTGGCAGGACTCCTGTTTGAGGGGGAAGACCCTTTCCACTGCTGAGAAAATGGCATTCTTCAGTGGCTGAAGTGCTGGAAACGGGGCCCATATAATCAAAAGGACGCAGCTGTCCCTCGTGTTCCAAATGCAAGGCTTGAACCTGACACACATGGTAGTCTCACCTCTCTTCGCACAGAATATCAACAGAGTTTTTTTAATGTAAATATAAATAACAAAATCTCTACCAACATTCCAAGTGTACAGGAGAACAATAAGCTATAGTGAATAAAACTGCCTGAACACAGTAAACACAAAGCTCTACTAGAATTATTAGCTCCGAATTCTGGGTTGGGGCTGGGATGAAGAAGAAGAAGAAGAAGAGATTGGATTTAAACCCCGCCCTTCACTACCCAAAGGTGTCTCAGAGCGGCTTACAAACGCCTTTCCCTTCCCCTCCCCACAACAGACGCCCTGTGTGGTCGGTGGGGCTGAGAGAGCTCTGGCAGAAACGGGTCTTTTTCAAGAACAGCTATGCCAGAACCATGGCTTGCCCAAGGTCATCCAGCCAGGTGCAGGCGGAGGAGTGGGGAATCAAACCCGGTTCTCCCAGATTAGAGTCCGCACACTTAACCACTACACCAAACTGGCTTGCCTGAGGCCAAAGCAAAGGTGACATTCAGATTGGGTTGCCAGACACCCCCCCTCCCATGGAGGCAGGGTTCCCCCACGGATAGGCCCCACCTCCCTGCCACGGATCAGCCGGCCCGAAAAAGAGGGAGTCCCATCTGATGTGCAGCGACATGTCTACATCACTGCCCACGTGGTCTGCAAGTGACGTCATCACATCTGGGGTGTCAGGGGGACGCTCTGGCATTTGGGCAAAAACTATGGTAGAAGCCAAATTTACCATGGAGTTTCCCCCCAAATACCAGAGTGTTACCCCAACGACCCGGATGTCACTTCTGGATCGTGTGGATAGTGACATAGACACATCGCTGTACATCAGATGGGCCTCCCTGCTGCTCCCGTTAAGTCCCCCTCCCACTGGTTGCCAGGAGAGCGACCAAGTGTTTCTAGAAAGTAGGTGGGGCTTCTGCCCAGCAGGGCTTGCAATTGGCTGTTGGAGATCCGATGGGCTGTGCAGATTTTTAAAGACATTGCTTGGGTAGCAGTTGCCGCCATAGCATGAAGATCCTCACTGTGTGTCGGAAGGTAAGCTGCGGCAGCCATCTTATGGCCGGCTCTGCCTCCAGTGGCAGCCATTTTGTAGCAGTCATTTAGCAGCAGCTGTGCCCACCACGATATGTCAGAATTCTAGTGGTGCTCTCAGGCTCAAAAACGTTGGGGACCCCTGTCTTTGTTGGTAGTTTCTCAGCTGCTGCACCACACCCGCTGCGTGATGGTGGTCTTTGGTCTGAAGGCTTGCAGCCAGTTTGGTGTAGTGGTTAGGAGCGTGGCCTCTAATCTGGGAGAACCGGGTTTGATTCCCCACTCCTCCACGTGCAGCTGCTGGTGTGACCTTGGGTCAGTCACGAGTTCTCTCAGAGCTGCTCTCTCAAGAGCAGTTCTAGAAAGAGCTCTCTCAGGCCCACCTACCTCACAGGCAGTGTTCCCTCTAAGCTGAGTTAGTGTGAGCTAGCTCACAGTTTTTTAGCCTCCGGCTCACACATTTTTGTCTTAGCTCAGGAAGGGATGGCTCCAGAGCCAACTAGTTTATGCAGTAGCCAAATCGCTCGCTCACAACTTTAATGCCAGCAGCTCACAAAGTAGAATTTTTGCTCACAAGACTCCACAGCTTAGAGGGAACATTGCTCACAGGGTGTCTGTTGTGGGGAAGGGAAGGGAAAGGAGATTGTAAATCGCTCTGAGACTCCTTCGGGTAGTGAAGGGTGGTGTATAAATCCAATCTCCTCTTCTTCTTCAGTGGAACTGCAAGGTCCAGGTTTGCTTCTAAGCATGGTTTTTGTTTGTTTGTTTGTTTGGCCAGTTGTGTTGCACGGGAACAACCTCTTGGTCTTCGGTGGCACCGGGATCCCTTTTGGCGAGAGCAATGGCAACGAAGTCCACATCTGTAACGTGAAGTACAATTGCTGGGCCCTGTTCAACTGCCGAGGGAAGAAGCCGGAACGTATCTATGGACAGGTACTGAGCCACCTAGGAAATAAGGCTGTCTTTGAGCACACACAGAGTGCATTCCTCACTGCCCACACCTGAGAACATACGAACATACAAAGAGTCTTGCTGGATTAGTCCAGTGGTCCATCTAAGCTCTCTCAGCCCCATCTGCCTCACGGGGTGTCTGTTGTGGGGAGGGGAAGGGGAAGCAGTTTGTAAGTCGCTCTGAGACTCCGAGTGAAGGGCGGGGTATAAATCCAATCTCCTCCTTGTCCTCCTCCACCTCGTCCTCCACCTTGTCCTCGTCCTCCAGCACCACCTCCTCCTCCTTCCTCCTCCTCCTTCCCACATTTGCTAAAGGTCTAAGCAGACGTCCGGCCCACAGGAGCTCTGGCCTCGGCCCCTCAGTTTGCCCCACCTGACCCCTCTCTCTCTTTCTTGCCAGGCAATGGCCATTATTAACGGCTCGCTGTACGTGTTTGGAGGAACAACCGGCTACACCTACAGCACAGACCTGCACAAGCTGGACCTCAACACCGGAGAATGGACCCAGCTGAAGCCAAACAACATGCACTGCGATATGCCGGAGGAGAGGTGAGCCCGGAGAGGGAGGGCA